CCCCTTCCACCCCCTACCCCCTCTACCACCATCACCGCCTCTACCGCCCCGCAATCCCCCTCTATCACCATCATCATCTCTATCACCCTACAACCTCCTTTATCACTTTCATTCTCTATCTCTACTCACTGTTATCATTCTTTTCACCTCTTTCACTCTCTACCCTCTCATTATCATCATTATCATCATCTCTACTTCTTCTACTACTCTCTTTCACTCTGTATCATCTCTATCACTATTATCAGATTAATCAGAGCTGTACAGATTGCAGAGTCAGCTATTCAATCTCATTCATGAATTCAAAGAGATATATATGACATCACATGAGATTTTATTACAGAGTATTTAGCAGTATATACTATAAATACAGAGATCAAAATATGATAGAGATAGTAAGAGAGAAGTAAAGATAGTGAAAGTAATAGAAGAGACTGTAGAGTAGTAGAGATAATGATAATGATAGAGAGGCTAGAGAGTGAAAAAGATGACAGAGAGAGATGATAGAGATGATAGAAGTGAGAGAGATAATAGAGATGATAAGAGAGGGATAGAATGATAAGATAAGAATAGAGATAGTGAAAGTAATAGAGAGTGCTGTGAGGCAGTAGAGGCAGTGGTGGTGATAGAGAGAGTAGAGGTGGTAGAGGTGGTAGAGGTGGTAAGAGTGAGTGATAAGATGAGAATAGGGGTATGGAGTGGAAGTGATAGGGGGTGCTACGGGGCGTTAGAGGCGGTGGTGATGATAGGGGGTAGATAGAGTGGTGCAATTGGCAGGCACCACTACATATCCATGGATTTTTGATGGGGTGCATGTGATGTCACGTCAGGTCACGTTACAGGGCATTTTACTCGGAAAAGTTGGTTTTTCTATAATATATAGAGAGATTTTTCTTCTTCTTCTTCTTCTTCTTCTTGTGATTCAAAGGTTGCTTGAGCCAGCGTACGATTACAGGCGTACGCCGGCTTCTTATATATCGTACGCTAAATTAATTAGTGGCTGCTATGGCCCCTTTACACTTGTAAGCAAGTTCGGAAGCGGCTGTGTTATTATCCGACAGTCATATGTTCTTCTGAACCACATCCTCCCCCACCAGATTCGGTCACGCCCACGTGACCATGTTGTATGCCCTAGCTTCATGTGGATTAGCTCACCACTAGCATTTCACAATTGTGTGACCTATCCCTGATTCAGCTAGCATTAGACTGACCGTGTGACCGTGTCTGGGACCAGGACCAGATTTTTTGATAGTCTCATTACCAATTCGACTGATTATTATTATTATTATTCTTCAATTATAGATGTATGCAGTCAGAGACTATGACATCTACCTGAGAACTTTAGTTCTCAGGGTTTTTTCTATGTCTGTAAAGTTAACTATTATACATTCATCAATTTCAGATATGCAAAATCAGAAAATTCCAGCCCAGAATATAAAAACTGTTTATAAATTGCAGTGTTTTAACATCTTTTGATACTTTGAAATCATTTGACAATATCATGACAAAAGAAAAGAGAAAAAGAACACAGTCTCAAAGATAGACACATTAAATAAATAGATAGAAAGAAATTGAAAGAAAAAGATAAAGAAAAAGATAAAGTAAAGAGAGACTATAACAAAACAAATTATTAAAAGAGAGTGTATAGCTGTTTTAACAGACTATATCTGATTTATTTTCTCCTCTTCATACTCAGATAATTCTGAATTTAGTCATTTTCTTATAGCTGCTTGAGTTTCTGATAGAAAGTCTATTAAGTATTTAATTCCTGTCTCAGTTGAGAATAAGAATCTTATATTTAATTGATTTAGATCATACTTCTCTTTCAATCTGGCTCTGAGACTATTGTATAATGCACAGTGCATTACAATATACTCAGAATTCTCATTTATATTGCAGAATGAGCATTCTATTGAGTCAAATCTATCATCAAATCTTTGTATATAAGATTTGAAATAGCCATGTCCTAGTTTCAGCTGTATTATAGATGAGAATATTTTCTTTTTACATTTAATTGAACAAGATTTTCACTTGGGTTTTGTTTTAAATCTTGAATAATGTATACTCTTCTTTTGTTTCTGCCAGCTTTCATTCCACTTGTCTAAACAAGATTCTTTTATTTTTCTCTTTATAAAAGACCAGGACATAATTTTTTGAATAGATCTGCTTAATTCTGCACCCTTTTTTACAGCTGAATCAGCCAATTCATTACCATGAATATTCATGTGAGCAGGAACTCAGTGCAGATGAATTATCAGCTTTGATATTCTTCTCTTTTGAATTTTTAAAACAGAGTTTAAGATCAGTTCAAGATTCATTTGATTATTATGAATCTGACTATTTCTAAGTCTTTTTAAAGCAGCTTGACTATCAGAGAATATCCATGCCTCTTTCAAACAATTTCCTCTTTTATGAGATTTTATTTCAATGAGTTTGAAAGCTTTCACTATTGCAAATAGTTCAGCATCAAAGACTTCACATTCAGAGCCTAGATTCCAGAAATCTGAGATAAAATTAATATTATCTTCAGTATAAGCAATGCCTGCGCCTAATCTATTCAAGTTCTCATTTTTTGAGTCATCTGAATAAACCAGAATAGGGTCTTTTATATTGATTGTAGAAATTCTCTTCAAATGCTGTTCATATTCTTTCTCTTTTGATAGTTCACTTATTTGTAAGTCTATAAGAGATTCAAGCTTTTCTCTTCAGAGAGATAACTTCTCATGATCAACTTTTTCAACATTTAAAGAAGAAAATTGATTTTTAATCAGAGAGCATAGTCTATACAGTTAAGAAGGCATTTTCTTTGAAGAATTATTTTCATTTCAATCAAGAAATCTATTCCAATTCAGTTCATTTCCAGAGTTAATTGATGGAAATGAAGAAGAGACTCTTTTGTGATTCAAAGGTTGCTTAAGCCAGCGTACGATTACAGGCGTACGCCGGCTTCTTATATTGTAATCTCATACGCTAAATTAATTAGCGTACGCTATGGCCCCTTTACACGTGTATGCTAGTAGTTTGGAAGCAGCCGCGTTATTATCTGACGGTCATATGTTCTTCTGAATCACATCCTTTCTCACCAGATTCAGTCACACTCATGTGATCATGTTGTATGTCCTAGCTTCATGCAGATTAGCTCACCACTAGCATTTCACAATTGTGTGATCTATTCCTGATTCAGCTAGTGTCTCATGTACACTCTTACAAAGAAACTTTTACTATATTACATCACTCATTCACTAACTTTTTCCATTCTTCAATCATCATCTTCATCATTATCATCATTGAATGTCATTATCTCATTCAAGATTTCTACTTCTTCTTCTGTTCAACTCTTTTCATCTGTTCACCTATTACATTGTATGTGTTCCTGGCAATGACCCTTCATTTCCACAGCAAGCATTATTGTAGTGCTCATACTAAGCAGTTCATTAACAGTAAGTGTAATGCATTGTGAAATATGATCAGAACTTGTTTATCTTCTAACAATTATCAGAATGATATATTATCATGAATGATGACACATCTTCTTCATCTTCTCATACACTCTTAACTGTTTCTTCTTCTCAGTGAGTTTCTGATTGTGTTTTCTGGCATGATTTTGCATGAATGCAGATGCTGATATGTTTGTTTTTATTTGTATAGAATCTTCACATGTTGACAGATTCACATTCACTGATGATAGTGAATCTGATGTTA